GGTTGGGAGCCTTCAGAACCTCCCTGTGGTGTATGAGATCTTGGTGGGGATGAGGGGGATGAACAAAGCTCTCGAGGAGAAGGGAATAGAGCTGCTTTCCCCCCCTTCCTTCCCTTCCCCCCCTGTCATCTCTGTAATCCTGGCTTTTGCAAGGACTGTGTGGGAACCCATAAACCCAAGGGGAGGAATCCCTGGGTGGCAGGACCCATCCCTCCAAGTGATGCTCGAGCAGGGCAGGTCTGAACCAACAAGTAGCATTCAAGTCCAGCTTCTCCAGCCCCAGCAGCGGCTGCAGGGGGTAGATGGGAGCCCCGTGCTTTAATGGGCTCACCGAGCCTGCCCTGGCCACCACAGCCAGCCCCTCTTCCCTGCAGCATTAACAGCCCAAGCTGCACTGGCCTGGGGGAACAGCCTCTGGCAGCTGCCAGCCCGGATGGCACGTGGTGGTCAGACCCAGATAAACTCTGCAGACACACTCACTGGGTTGCAGGGCTGGGTGCTGCAGCATCCTTATGCAGTGAGGTGGGGGCTGCATCTGCTTCGGGAGGGGCCTGGCCATGGCCAGGAGGGCTGCAACCTTGTCTGGCCCTGATACTGGGGCTCTGTTAGTCTTCACGTGTTGGTGCCCTGGCTGGTTTCTGCTATTGCAGACTGTGGGCTAACTGTGGTGTTTAATATGCTAGTGCTTGTTGAAATCACTCATGCACCCAGGAATCTTTTTCCCAAACTCCTGCTGGTGTGCCCCCACTGTCCCTGCTTCTCCCCATGCAGTGCTACCCCATGCAGCTGGGAAACTCTGTTGTGGTCTCCTGTGATGCACTGGGGCCTGTGCTGGTCCCTGTCAACTCAATGGTATGAAGCTGCATCTCTATTGGATTTAGTTTTCAATACTTGGTTCTTCTTTTTCCAAGTGCTGAACGAGTTGCTTTTTTAATGGATCGTTCTCGGAGCCCGGACAAAAGCACCCAGGTGAGATCATGGCTCTGAGACCAGAAGTCCTCACCACTGGGATGGAGAGGGGTTGGGGCCTGTAGGAGAAAGGCAAGGAGGCAGCTTACTGCTGCTTTGTCCCTGTGAATGATGCTGGGTAGCCTTTTGGACAAGGCATAATGCTCCCAGAGTTTGGGGAGGGGAAGATTTCTGGGAAACAAGAATAGTAGGAAGGCTGCGTGTGTCTATATAATGTATCCCTGTCCCATTGGAATGGGGGCTGAGCCCCCCTGTAGTGCTAGGTGTGCATAAGGCCACTTCCAAGGCTGCAGACCTGGCAGATCTGGGGGTTAATGGGGGTGGGCAGAGGGCTGCAAGGTTGAGGGGATGCTGATGTCCTGCTGCAGAAGTGCTCCTATGTCTCAGAGCTGTGTACATGCTTCTTGCCTAGCACAGGTAGTGGGGAGCACCTTGTCTTGGTGCTGTGGTGAGCTACACAGTGCCTTTCTTCTGTGGCAGCACAGCAGATCTTGAAAGCCTCAAGCCAAAGAGTACTAAGACTGCTTGGCTCCTTACTCTGTGCAAGTATGGGTTGAGACTCCAGCTCAGTACAGCCTCCAGCTGTGCATAGCTCTGTTCTCCCTTTCCCCATCACTTACTTTACCTGAGAGTCCACTGTGTCTTTTGCTGATGAGTTTTTTTCTCAAAGGCTCTGTGCAAGGGATGCTGTGCTGAGGAAGAGAAAGCATAACCTGCAGCAAGGTCTTTGTAACTAATACTATTGTTATCCTCTCTAGCCTCCAACACCAACTGACAACATCAACCTTGGACCTTCTGCTAACCCAAAGTAAGCTCCCTGCAAAAGCCAGGTAGGGTGTGGAGCATGCAGTGAAGAGATCTGGTGGGGGAATGCACTTGGTTCCTCTGTCTCGCGTGGGTGGTGTCTGCAAAATTTTTAACAATTACATTACTTGGCCTTTAACACCGTGTGCATCACCCATTCACCAGCTTTCAGGACATTCAGCTGTAGCTGGTCCCTCTTGTAATCATCCTCTCCTGTCCCTGTCTGCAGTCTCTTGTCCCACCCCTCTTGAAAGGTAGTAAGGGAAGATCTTCCTCATCACTGCTGGTTCCCAGACTCTCTAGAAATGGGGATAAGCTGTGTCCCCTGTAAAGGTGCAACTTGGTCCTGATGGGTGCTTTCACCCGCTGCTGTGTTCAGTGTGTGGGTTGTTCATCCTCTGCTGAGCGCACCGACTGACACAGTGTGAAACCCTGCTTGCTGGGAGCGAGGGTCACCCGTCCAGTGCCCTTTAATCCCTTTCACAAACACTCATGTTTCCACAAAGGAACTCTGCTGCGATGGTGGTGTTGCTGTCGCATGTTTCTCTCCCAGAAACATTAACTTGCTTCATTCTTGCCCAACAGTGCCAAGCCAACAGACTTTGACTTCCTGAAGGTTATTGGCAAAGGAAGCTTTGGAAAAGTAAGTGGATTTGTACAGGTGGGCTGCAGCTTTCTGGAGGCAGCATGGAAAGAGACTTCCTTGCTGAAAGAGTTTGTAGTTGTGTCCTTTGCTTGCACCTCTCCTGAGGAATTTGGCCTGAGACCTGGGATAGGGTTTTCATAGTCCATTCTTACTTTGAGTGTCCTGCAGCTTCTCTAAGAACAGAAATGTAAGGTGTGTTAAGCTCAGGGTGGTTGTGGTGAGGAACAGTACTTGATTTAAAATTTGCTAGCTGAACAAGTTTGAAGTTTAAGCTCTCTAGACAAATCTGTGCCTTGTGAGGTAGCAAGGATCCACTGTAAATGGGACTGTCACCAAATGGTCCAAACACTTTATTAGGTATGAGGTATGTGGAGATGTTGTATGCCTTTTTCTGGCAATGATAAAGTGCTGGATCTTGGTTTAAAAGTTTGTACCTGACCCTCTGGAGCAGTACTCTTCATATAATCACTTGTGTTTGAGTGATCCAGTGAGGAAACACCAACCAAGTGGCAGAAGGTGAGATTGAAACCTATGACTGGGCCCCTCTGTTGCAGGTTCTGCTGGCCAAACGTAAGTGTGATGGGACTTTTTATGCTGTGAAAGTCTTGCACAAGAAAGCCATCCTGAAGAAAAAAGAGGTATGTCTGCTCTCCTTGGCTACTTCTGTGAAGAGTGGTCAGTGTGGGAGCAATCCTGGTAGTGCAGTTGGGGCATCTCATGGCTGAGTGAGCATTCACATAGAGAAGTTGTGTTAAACATGGATTTATTTCAGCCATGAGAAAATGGGGAGCAACTGAGAATTATTGGGTTAGAGAGAGTGGTTCCCTTTCTGGGGCAAAGATGCCCCCTTTAGAACTCCCAGCTTCTACTTGCTTTCTAAACAGCAGTGAGACCATAAGGCAGACTGCACTGGACCCCTACCTGAAACTCTAACGCCTTGCCTGCTTCTTGATAGCAAAACCACATCATGGCAGAGCGCAACGTGCTCCTGAAAAACGTCAAGCACCCCTTCCTGGTGGGACTCCATTACTCCTTCCAGACTTCGGAGAAGCTTTACTTTGTGCTTGACTATGTGAATGGGGGAGAGGTGAGTGCACATACAGGCTTTATTTTAATCCTCTGTGTGGCCCTTCCCAAACATGTCGTGTTATTGCCTAAAACTGCTTCTTGTCAGAAGATGATTATGTTGAAGTAAAATGTTGCCAACGCAAGGACCAGCTGGGGTGGCTGCCATGCTATCTCACGTGTAAGTTGAGTGAAGATCTTGCTGGATATGACCTGTCAGATAATTCCTCAGGCAAGAACACTAAGAAAAACATGTGCTAGCAGCATTTTAAAATCTGATCGAGGCTATGGCAAATGTTGATGTTTATGAGCTTTAGGCAAAACCCGCTTGTGGGCCAGGTCTGCATTCCAGTCTAGTGCTCGAGTGGTTCCATTGCAGTATCACACTTCTTTTCATGTCCTGTAGAAGCTTCTCTTCAGCTTTCTGTGCTGTCTGAAACTGGCAGGATGATAGTGTGAACATGGATGTCTTGCCTGAGTCTAGCTCATATGAGGGGTACTAGTGGGCTCAGCTCTGTGTAGGTACCACTCTTCATGGCCATACTACAGCCTGGGGCTTGTAGCAAGATGGAAAACTTGCTCACCAGAGAACCAGATCAGCAGATGACTAGTTTTGGGACAATGAATTAAGTGAGATGGTGACATAAGAGGGAGGACAAAACAAGCAATCTAAACACCTTTCCAGAAATTGCTTAAAGTCACTTGTTTTGGCTTTATTTGGTGCTGTTCATGTGCCACTTGCTGCCAACTGATTTTCACTCAAGTAGCTCTTTCAGGCTTGCTCCAGGTATCCTTCAGTTTTTTAGAGAAATGATTAACCTTATTTGTTCGTAGCTCTTCTTCCACTTGCAAAGGGAGCGCTGCTTCCGTGAACCACGGGCTCGATTCTATGCTGCAGAAGTTGCTAGTGCAATTGGGTACCTGCATTCCTTAAACATCATTTACAGGTAAGGCATGTGTCCTGCCGGGGAGAGCAGGGGCATCAGGCTTGCCCAGCCAGGCTAAGAGCAGTGCTAGGGAGGAGAAAGGTGGCTTCTAGGGCCATGCAAAATGCAGGACTGAAGTAGCTGAAGAATCTCATGCTGCCAGCATTTTATCCTGCATGAGGGGTACTGTCTGCATGGGATCTGATGGGCAATAAATGCTCACAACCTGATAGTGGCAAGGAGAATGATTGGGTGAAAAATCTGAAATAAACCTGGCACAAGAAGGAAGAAATTGTCTCTCAGTGCCAATTCATCCATAGGCATGCAGGGTAATAACTGAGAGCAGTCTTTCTATGTTTGCATACATTGGATGTCAATACTGAACAGTGATCACAGAATCATAGAATGGTT